TGACTACTGTCACTTTCTTCCCCCACAATCACACTAAACTGATCTCAGGTTGCAGTCCACAGAATTTCTTCCCTCACCCACCACGCTATTTTGAAATACTTAAATTTTACATACAAGATGAAATACAATACAATTAAAAGCTGTAAGACATTACTGAACGCCTAGCAATCAGTAGGAATAATCTTCGGACAACTGTTCAAAAACTTTTAGAAATAGCCTAACGACCAAATCACCTGTTCGGATATCTGATCTAGACGAAAAAGCACTGCAAACTTTTTCTACTCTGCATGCAATCCTTGATTACAAAGAGAAAACTCCACGGGCTAGCCGGAGCTAGAGAACCGGTAGGGTAACAGGCTAAAAGGGCGTCGTTGATTTCTTGGCTACAGTGACAGAGGCGGGAGACACACCCCTAGCGTCGGTCGGAAACACTACAGCAGTGAGTTCTACCTAGGGATTACTGTGAGGGTAAGGAAAGAGAAATTTAAATCGCCATGATTCAAAAACAACCCGCACCGGAGAGACTTACGATAGTAACAAAGAAAACGAGAAACCCTTGGCAGTCTGTAAGCACTGTTAAAAACAAGTATCCCCGTTTATCACAATTCGAGCTACACTGTGTTCGTGAATCTACACCTTGGACCTTTCCGGTTCGCCACTGCAAAGAGAAAACCAGCAGCGAAGAAGGGAAAAAAAAAAAAAAAAGCCTCGTAAGGTTGCAAACAGCAGTGAAATAAACACTAACGAGAGAGGGGGGAAGTAAGTGGCAGGATTCCTGCCAAGACTCGCTGCTTCAAAATAGAGTGGGAGTGGGAGAGAGAGAGGCCCTGGAGAGAAAGTGGGTCTTATATAAAGAGCCATTCGCCACCTATGATTGCCGTAGGATTCCGGAATCTCCCCGAACTTGAGAGAGTGAGTCTGGGGGTGAGAGGGGGGGCTCCACGTGGAGGAGGGTCCGGAGAGAGGGAAAGCGGGCCGATCTGGGGACAGTCCCGGGCGGACGGCCGGGGTGGCTTGGGGTCGAGGCCCGGGCGGAATCCCAGGGGCGCGGGGGGGGGAGGGGTGGAGGGGCGCCCCGCGGAGGCCCGGGGGCGGGCGCGGGGGCCCCGCCGGGCTGTCAATCTGCCGACCGTAGCCCCCGGGCCGCTGGGGCTTTCTCGGGTCTCTCGAATTTTCCACTGGGGGAAGCCGCCCGGGGGCGTCGGGGCTCGCCCCCGCCCTCGCCCCTGGAAGCGGCGGGCGGGGAGCGATGGTGCGTGGGGAAGCGGAGAGCTCACCATTTTGCTGGGCGGTCGGCGGCTCGCTCGCGCAGAGAAGAGTGTCGGCGCTCTGACGGGCTCCCGCAGGAAGCAGCGGCAGTGGCGGCGGCGGCGGCCCAGCTACGCTCGGCTGGGGCGGCTGCGGCCCTCGGGACGCCCGCGGGGGAAGGGGGGGTTCAGGCTGGGGGAGGGCAGGCGGCGCCGCGGGGAGCGCGCCGGCCGGGGTGTCTGGACACGCGGGAGCTGGCGAGGAGAAGAGAAATTAAGGTCGAGATTCAGAGACGGAGAGCGCGGGAGGAGACACGGCGAGAAGTGGGGAGAGACCGAGCCGGGGGGAGGCGGGGGAGAAGGGGGCCAAGCGGCTTGGGGGCTGCAGCCTCGCACTCGTGCTCGCGCCCGCACCGGAGCCGTGACGGACTCACTGCAGTGGCTCGCACTGACCCGCAACCTCAAGGCACGAAAAAGGGGGAGGGCAGGAGAGGGAGGGGAAAGCGGAGCGCAGCGGCGCGCGGGGCGGAGGGTGGGGGCGCGCGCGGAGCCGGCGGCGGGGGCGGGGCTTCCGCGAGCGCCGCACATCCGGGAACCCGCGCACCCGCTCGGCGGCGGCCGCGGCGGCGCTCTGGCGAGCTCTGGTTGGGGAGCGCGGAGCGCGCCGGCCGCCCCCTGCGTGCAGGGCGGGGGGAGCGCGGGGGCGGGGGCGCGGACGTCAGTGACGTCGCGTGGTGGAGCCCTTCCTGTCATGTGGCTGGAGGCGGGCGGGGTGGAGGGGGTGAAGAGGGGGAGGCTGAGCCGAGAGGGGGAAACGAGGAAATACGAGGGTTCCCTGTGAGGGAGGAAGTGCGAGGGGTGCGCGAGCCTGGGCACAGGGGGCCTTGGGCCCGGGAGTAGAAACCTCGTAGGAGAGGAGGAACAGATGAGCGGCCGTAAGGTCGGAACACCCAGACTCTTCACCAAAAAGAGGCCAACCCCAGCCCTGGGGCTAGAGGGAATCAGTTTGCGCCTGAAGACAGGTATCTTTGCATCAGTGTGATGGCTTGGATGCCCTTCAGAATGCATGTCGCATCTAGACACTTGTCACCCAGGTGCAGCGCCCGCAGGCCCACACTCCTACACTCCTATATAGGTTGGCAGTCAGGAGCCGGGTTGGGAAGACTGGAGGAGGCGTGCAGTCAGCGAAACACGATAGAGGCTGCCGCGAAGCCCTTCGCTCACAGCTCTGGATTTTCCTGAAACCCTCCAGGCTACCTTTTTGACGCGGCAGTGTTTTGGTGAAACGTTGAAAGACCGATTGCCCACTTGTCCCTTTAGTAGGGCTGTATTCACTTTGGTGGTAATTACTGTTCTCAGAAAATTCAGACTGCGGTGGGACGTGGGATCCAGAAAAGCCTAAAGAGGAAAGTTCTGTTCAGGGAAAAAGAAAAAGAGCTGCCAGGAGAGGTGTGATTAAGGATAATGATGGAAGCAATTTGCAACAGTTTTAACCAGTTACTCCCTTTCAACTCTTGATGTGTGTGTGTGTGTGTGAGAGAGAGAGAGAGAGATGTTTACTGAGTGGTCAGAAACTAATGAACAAATTCTTTTCAATAGTTTTATTAAAAGCTATAGTATTTTTAAAGGCAGTCTGCTAAAGCTCCTTACATGGGTTTTATTCTTAAGCGCTAGTCATTTTTCTGTGTGATAAACATTCATCATTTGTAATAGAACCTCAGTGATGTGCCCTAGAGATGTGCAACTCACCCTTCGTCCCCGCCTCTTCTTTAAAAACTACTGTGTTTCCGTTTCAGGGTAAATATGGAAAAGTAACTTTGATGACAAGCTGTATCACATAGCGAATGTCTGGAAGAAAGGCCAAGAAATGACCCTGTTTCTTCCACCGTTTAATCTGTTAATAAGTCTTGACTTAGATATGTTATATGTATTCCAAAACAGAGGGAAATCCCTGAGATAATTGTCATTTATGTTTGCTAGATATATTAATTTTAATTAGTTTTTCATCATAAAATTAAGACAAGCTCACTTTTTAAAAGAACAGTATTTTAAAAATTCCTCCCCCTCAACTCAACCTCTCAGAGATCATCACTGTAACTGCATTTGTGTGTCCCTCGGATACATTTAGTGAAAATGAAATTATCATTTTGACTGAGGGTTAAATACTGAGAAAGAATTTGAGCTATATGGGATGCAATAGATTCAAAGTGACCCATAGTTTTGTCATGCTTTGTACCAATGGCTATAATCATTCAACAAATGTCTATTGTGAACTTAAATCAGGAATTTAAGAGTTCAGAGCTGTGAAAGATTGGCTAGGCTTTGTGACTAACAAAAGCAAGAAACCAAGGCCAGTTCACTTGTTGCTTGGCATCCTGCAAATTTACCGGAATTCACCACTTATATTGTCCCAGTTTTGTATATACTGCATAATATACAAACTGGTAGCATCTCTGACTCTGAAACAGATTATTCTGAATTCATTAAGAGAAGTAAATCCAAAATGCACCTTTATCATCCAGGTTTTTTTCCCCTGAGGTCAAAATAGAAAGTATTGTAATCAGTCTTCTTGTTTTTTACTAAGGGATCAGGTACCTAGTGGTCCTGCCAAAAACACACAGGGCAAAGGACATATGTAATAAATGGATTATTATTTCCTAGAAAACTTAGCATCTAAAAGATGATTGTTGGGGAGTATTATGGAGGTAAGTCGGAGGGAGAGACACTTAAGACAGAGATACCAGTTACAGTAACGGTAACAGCTAGCATGAGGTCAGGAGAAGTATCAATAGTGGAGAAAAGGAAGGGATCAATAGGAAAGACATGGAGTAAAAATGGACTAATTATGCAATTTAACCAATGTAGGGAATAAGAAGAGGGGAAATAAAAGATGACCATTATAGTTTTAGTTTGATGACAGAAAATAGTGGTACTATTGTGAGAAACAGAGAAGTCTGGAGAAGTTTGATTGCTGAGTGGAAAGAGATGAGTTTGGATTTTAAAATACTAAATTTGAGTTGTTGGTGCGATATCCTGGTGGAAGCACCCAAGGAGAAAGAAGCTGGAACTGCAGGGTAGAAAGGGAGAGTGATGTGGGAATCATCTCAAAAAGAAGAAATCAAAATTGAAATCTTCAGGTGTCCCCTTATTTAGTCAGAAGAAAAAGAAAGGACCCCAAGATCATAATAAAGCTAAGTAGAAAATTTTTTTGAGGTTTTAAGAAAAAGAGTAATGTTTGCAGTCATATTTGACTGCACAACAGGTTTAGACTTCAGTGTGTCTGCAGTTATCTTTCTGAAGTTAGCTATATTACAGGTAATTTTATCAAGGTCATTATGATATCCAGAAATCTACCTGGATTTCTGGTCTGATTGTGGTCTGATAAAGGTCTGATTGTGATCATTTCCTTATATGTCATATATAAGAGTGGCAGAAGAGCTGAATTACCATTTCTATAGTTGTTTAAGACATTCCTATGCAGTATTACCCCAAAATAACACACTGCCATTCACGATTATGTTGAATGACAGTGTGGTCAACATCAAGTTAAATGGTTTAACTTTTATACTCATTTAACTTTATACTCATACATGGGAAGAAAATGCCACTTGAAGAAAAATCAAAACAACTTGTAAATAATGTCTGTTCCTTTTTAGTACACATCTGTTAACACAGAGGAAACATCTACCTCCCCTCCTAAATAAACCATACATGTCCCAGCTTATGAAGCCAAGATTTAAGAATATTTTGTACCTTTCTGTCATCCAGTTTCATATAAAATTCTCTTTGCTGTGAGCACCGAGGTTGCATGGGGAAAAAATCACTTTCCTTCCTAGAATCTCTTTTTATACCAAGAAGAAAGCAGGGATGCCAGGTAGCCCCCCGCTCCATGGTGTGGTTGAGGGAAGATTCCTTGGCACCTGAGTTGACAGGGAAGTGGCTAGTTCCCTTCTTGCTAAGCAGCGAAGGTAGGAACCAAGGATTCCAAGTTCTACCTTGGAAACTCATCTCTCCATAGAAATGATTTTACAAAGAATTCTATAAACAATGGCCTTCCTACAAAAGCCTACTTATATTATAATGTAGCTGAAACTCTGTATTTGCGATTAAAAACACAATGATAGAAATCGATGCTCTTAAAATATATATATAGCTTTATGAATTAATGAATTTGGGAGAAATGCGTACCAAGTGCTGGGTGGATGTTTTTTTTAAATTCTACACATAATTATTTTTAAAACTATGGAATTGTATGCAACTTTTCAAATTACCATAAGAGAATTAATAATATTGAGTCTGTTCAAAATAAAATCTGTAATTTACTTTTCAGATGAAACACAGGTTAGAAATATTCCTTAATTGGGAAAGTTTCCAAAACTTATTCAGTAAATTGGCTATATAAATTACTTTTGCATTATATACAGGACCAAAAGGGAAAGGGGGGGGTGAAGGAACTTCCTGAGATTTATTCCTGAACCTCTTAAATCCACATCTAATTCCATGTGTTGAAGGAAAAATTCACAGTGTTTTTGAAGGCAATGCGTTAACACCTTTTACATGATGAGCTTTATTATATTTCTAAACTGATGATTTTTCTATATGATAAGTACATTATAATTGAGTAAGTACATTATAATTGAGTAATTACCTGCATAAGTATAACAGTTGAAACCATGAGAGAAAGGTCAGAAATCAGCATAGAAGCAACAGGGCCAGAACAAGGGCAGAATCAAGGTAACATCTACATTTAAGTGGCTAAAAGAGAAAGTAATGACAGAAACAAAAACGAACTAGACAGAAGGGCTGGAGATCCAGCACAGATGCTCAGGAAACCAAAGGACAGGGTTTCAGGAGAAAGGAGTGGTCCATCAGTGTTGTCAAAGAGGACCAAGTCAGATGCAGTAGCACAGGCTGCTGGTATTACATTCATATATATCCATTGAGATGTGCTAGAGTGTGTCTTAAAATAGTCTTTCTGAGTTAGAATTCTCATTTCTTTGGTCTCTTGCACATAAAAATGGAAACCAAGGAAAAGCTGTTATAGTATTTACATTTTACTAGTTTACAAGAGTATTTACATTATAGCATTTTTTATTTCCCTGGTGGCTCAGACGGTAAAAGCATCTGCCTATAGTGTGGGAGACCCGGGTTCAATCCCTGGGTCGGGAAGATCCCCTGGAGAAGGAAATAGCAACCCACTGCAGTACTCTTGCCTGGAAAATCCCATGGACAGAGGAGCCTGGTGGACTACAGTCCATGGGGTCGCAGAGAGTCGGACACGACTGAGCGACTTCACTTTTCAAACGGTATTTACACTAAGTGAGTGTATCAGAAAAAAATGATTTAAACGAAAAACATATAACACTAGAGAAGACCTGTTTGTCATACTTGTTGACTCACGTATATACTTACACACTCACATTATCCACATGTGCTTCACAGGAGACTGTGTGTAACACTCAAGTGAGACCCTAGTTCTAATCCTACCTCTGACTCCAGTCCACTTCTATGAATTATGAGTTTTCCGTTTATGAATTTTGGATAGTTGTTTAAACCTAAGTTGTGCTGTGTAGTTTGGTAGCCTCCAGCCACTTGTGGCTGTTTACATTTAAATTAATTAAAATTGAATAAAATTAAAATTTAGTTCTTCTGTCTCATTAGCTATATTTCAAGTGGTTGATAGCTGTGTACCTTGTGGCTACCATAGTGACCACCACAAAAGTACTATTGAACAGCTCTCTATTGAACAAGTCCTTTACCTGAGAATATGCATCACCAACCACTAACATATGTTTGTTTGTTATGAGGGTAAGCAAATTTCAAATACAACAAGTTAATTGAATCTAGTTTAGATGCCCTTGGCATTTGAACAAACAAGTAATAGACACTAAAAAAACCAAAATGTATATTGGAACAAATGAGAATGGACAAATCTCACGGAAAAAAAAACCCTGTGTATGTGAATATATTAGAAAGAGACTGAAAAATAGCAACATTTACAGTTTATTGTCAGTACTTTTACTAAAATGCATGTATTCTATACTAAAATGTTTAATATAGCTTTTTCAACATCTAACTATATTGCAACAAACATACTAAAAATTTTAAATTTATAAAAATATTTTTAGCAACTGCATAGAACTAATAGTTAATATACTTTGTTTTCACTAAAGAGTTTTATTTTTTACTATAATCTGGTTTCTGTATTTTACCCACAACATTAATGTAGACTTCACGTAGCACTCAGGATACTATAGAGAAGTTTTAAAATGCAAAGAGAATGTGTAAGAGATAAAGTATTAAGCCTGTCATCTCACAAAGATTCCTAAGAGATCTTTAATAAATAAGGGAACAGGGTTTCAGTTTTATATTCCGTCTAAAAATAACATTCCTTAGTGCTGAATCAGGAGTTTGAGCGTGCAGCAAACTGAATCCACTTCTTTCAGTCATCAGGGGTTTTCTCAGGGAATTTTCAAGATAGACCTTGGCTTCCAAAGGAAAGGAAATAAATAAACTAGCAAAACAAAAAAAGATTGATTTGGCATAAAATATCCATTCATTGACTTAACCCATCTGATAAATGAAAAGGTATGCACACCAGGATCAGACTAACCCCAAGAAAAGGGAATGATATTTTGTAGATTATAACTACCAGTACTAGGAATTAGTTGTTTATAAGATGGCAGATCTCAGAGGTCCCCCTGACTTCTCTGGGGGAGTGAAGAGGCAATGCGATGCCATTACAGTGCCATTAAGAGAAAGCCATACCCTCATGATATGGTAAGCCATAAACTGGTGCTTAGCTTAGCCTGGCATTTTCTAGATGGGTGTGTGCAGCGTGGGGAACACTGAAGCTCAGTATTAGGCATTTGTAACCAGTCCTTCACTGCCATTGTTTCCACTAGAGGGAACTACTCTGAATGTCTCACTTTTGAGGAAACCTGGTTCTCTCTTTTGTCTGACTCTGGACACTGGGCAATTGTTTAATGACATAAATGGAAGAGGGCCCTTGGAGGAAAACCACTGGATCAGTAGCAGGTTATAGAAAATGTTTTACATACAGAAAATTACAAAACAGGAAAATGATCTGTAATTATGTCAGCAAAAGATAATTATTGTTTATATTTGGATGTGTATCCAATATTTTTTCTATGTATATAAAATATATAATTATAAATATATATAATGTATATTAAAATATATGTGTATAATTGGGACCTACTGTCTTATAATCTTCTACTTAATATTTTGGAAATGTTTCTCCCATCTATACATATGCTTCAAGAATATGATTTTCAACTTATATGTGTTCAGTAATGTTAATGTATGCCATAATTTATTTAACTAAGAATCTCCTATAACTTAATTTTTATTTTGGTTGTTTTCAGTTTTTCCTATTACATTATATATTAAACACTTTTGTAAAATCTTTGTGCACATTTCTGATTTTTTTTTTTTAGGATACATTCATAGTAGTGGAGTTATAGAACCAAAGGGTATAAACATTTTAAAGACTTTATATTACATATACGTAGAGAGAGAGAGACAGAGACAGAGAGAGACTCCGATTACTCTCAAGAAATTTTGTAGATTTCCCACCAGCAATGCACATTTCTCAACAGCAGTATAAACTGTATTGATACTTCTTTTAAATGTAGAGTTTTTTTTTTTAAACTGGCGCCTCATCATAATTTGTATTTCTTGGTTTACTAGTAATATTGAACATTTTTCTTAAATTTTGATGTTTTAACTCAACTGCTGAGAATATATTCCTGTGACTTACCTGTTCATTGCTCACTTTTCTTGGGGAAATTGGTCATTTTTAGTGATTTATAAAAACTTTTTGTACGTGAAGGATATCCCCTTATCATGTTTTGACTAGGTTTGTGGCATTTTTAAAGATTATTTTCCCATTCTGAATATGGGGGAAAAATAACATATGAATGATAATTTAAAAGTTAACACCTTTAATATATAAATATCTTCTAGTTAATTAAGAACTTTTTTCATATAATTAATCTATCTCTCCCATGCAAAACATTATAAAGTATACATTCAATGGTTAGATTGGAAGGTAGACAGAGAATAGGTTAATGCTGACTTGACAGTAGCTACTTACTCTGTTTTCTATTGAATAGCAAATTCAATTCATTCAAAATTTTATTTGACCTTATCTCTCAATCATATTCTTCAATGAAGAGGAATGTAGCATATGAAAATGTTGCATCAAAGACACATAATGAACTATATACACAACCAAAAACTGAAATCTTCAGAGGCTGAAAACAACTGAAGATATCTTCTGAATATGTCAATGATCTAGGATCCACTGTATTATTTTGCCTTATGTATCAGTTGCACACATAGCCTATACAATGTATATGGTTATAAAATGTATGTGTATATGGTTATAAAATGTATATGTGAGATACACATTGCTTTATGTTTTTTCTCTATCAAGTACACACACTACTCAAAACATTTTACAAAAATTTATATCACATTTTTCTTTCTCTCCATGGTATCCTAAGTAAGATATATGGCAGAAGATTAAACCAGCCTTTTATTTATACATATAGGTAACTGTAACGTACCTCCTCTACATTTACAATTGCATGAATACATGAAAACGATTTGCTTCAACAAAAGTAACATCATAACTAAATACGGTCATGAGCCCAAGATCCATGCTGGGTAGTTAATTCTCATTGTGTTTTTCTGTTGGAATGAGTTCTTCCTTGTGCAATATTTTAAAATAGAAATATCTTAAAAAAAAAAAAAAAGAACTGACTAGTTATACCAGCTTCGTATAAATTTGTTTTTGCAGGGCAAACTGGTTGGAACCAAATGTGAATTTTTCACTAGCATATTCTCTTTAATGCTGTTCTTCC